ACAAAAACAAACTAAGCACTTGATTCTTACACGCATCAAATTGAAAATTTGAAGAGCTTCCTGTGGCCTTCTTGCCTTCCCAAGAACTGTAAGAAGTTTTGTGTACACAAACCTACAAAATCATAATTAGTTTCATCGGAAGAGAGAACCAAATATGCAAAGCACTAAGCAGGTAAAACAATAACAAAAAATTTGAATAATAAAATCATGCATAATATTTGGTGGCTTTCAGAAGGGAAAAAACACCTGCTTTGAAACTTTATGCGATCCTTACAATCGTACACCCATTGAACCACAGATAGAGCTTGCTTCCAACAAGCTCTAACACCAAGCATTTCAAGAATCATCAACAATTGACCCTCTGTGAAAGGAAAACCCGAAAGCTTCACGACCTCGAGAATTTCCAATCCTTAGCCCCAATTGCAAAGGCATACAAACACCAACATTTTGTAAGGAAATCAAAAGGTACACAAGTTGTGATTCAAACTCGGCGAAGTCTACAGATCCTGATTCAATAAGTGGCATCAGATATGCAGCCAAGAGTTCAGACACCAGGGCAGCAACCAGTGGAACCCTCTTCAAGTTCTTTATCACTGAATTGTCATCATTCTCACCAATAGCAAGAATCTTCTGGTTTATCACCACCATTCGATCCAACTTATGCTTAAACTCTAGGTTCTCAACATCAAGAACAGCTGGGAAAAACCGTGCAGTTGTTCAGTTTGTCTGCAAAAACAATCCGGAAATGAAGCTTGATTAGCTGCTTGTGACTTATGAGTTCAACATTTATTCTTTATTAATCAAAACTCACTCATGGATTTACATTGTATAGATGCATATGATATACTAGAGACCAGAGATCCAAATTTTGAAGTCATAACCAATGGATTTACATTGTATAGATGCATATGATATACTACTCTTGAAAGCTAAGACGGTCACTGTCATGTTTTTATTAATCATTCTCAACCACAGAGAAAAATAACAACAGCAGTGGTGAGGGAATGCATATCCAATTACTTACCATCAGTTGGTTTAGCCAGAGACTTCAAATCCAGCGCATTCTGCCGAGGACTTCAAATCCTCTCTCTAAATGAACAAAGGTTATAACCAGAGAGTGTGTGTTTGGGGAAATGGGAGGATAAATACTTACGGTTTGGGTCCCTCCTCGAATGTGTAACTTGATGCAATAGCCAGAAGGCGGCCATCTCTGCTAAATGAGAGTGCAACAATGCTAGTTGGATATTTTGAATACTGCAAGAAGAAATGGTAATTTAGTACTTGTTACAGTTGTAGCATAACAAGAATTTAACCTCTTAAATCACTAAAGGCAAATGAGGAAAACCTGATACAACCTCTTTTTGTTGTTTCCGTCCCATACATTAACAAAACCGTCACAACCTCCTGTGGCAAATGTACCGTATCTGCATGAAGATTCCTCATGAGTGTTTTCATACATTAAATATTAACAGAATCATATGGGTCAGTTAGTTTGTTGTTAATCACATAGTGACAGTCATTTTGACAGCTGTTAATTAGTTGTGATGGTTGGTTGGCTGAGGTTGTGTTAGTTTGATAAGATGTGCTCTAGAAAAAGAACAATGTAACATTTGCATCTTTTATCAATAAGGTTTCTTTTGGTGGTATTCAGCACCTTTGCTCCTGTTTTAATCTTTAACCTTCTATAGCATGCTAGTTAACTAAGGAGATAAGAAAATTCGATAGACAAAGAAATTGAAAACACTTACATGGGGTGGAATGCCATGGCATTTACAGGATAAACAATATCCCTTCCAGCTTCAGATTTTCTGTGACAGTTAAATGCATATCTGTATATAGTTTATAAGCAAATGATGTATTATAAGGACAATATAGATGAAGTAAAAAAACAGTTTGAAGTGGTCAAAATGATAAAGCATAAAGCTAAAAATCAATACTTCTTTGCCTGGCTAGCTCCAGAGAGGTCAAAGAATTACATTGCAACCCGCCCTTCAATAGAACTAAGTGCATATCCTGCAAAAAGCCAAAAGTACATGGAATATGAACATCAAGGCTAAGAGACACATCACAAAAATCAGTGCCATCCCTAGATTCTGCGCGAAACATGAAAAAGATATGAATTAATAACATTCATGAATTTACACATTAGTATCCTCTTCCAATCAATACCAGTGCTCATAATACATGAACAATAATTAAAGAATGGCTTATAAGCAAACATAAACCCGCATTTGATTAAGATTGTAAAAATGTCTTGTGTGGTCTCAAATGTGTAAACCATGCTTTGACAGCAGCATAACAACCTATTTTAAACAGTAACTCACCAACTAGCATGTTTAAACTACTCTGCAACAACTCTTAGCACATAAAATTGTAAGAAAAGATGAATAAAGAACCTGCTCCAAGTATATCAAAGAGGATAAGTGCATGGATGGGAGTTTTCAACTCTATAGAAGGTTATAATCTACTGACAAATGACTTTATGGTATTGTAGAGTCTTAGTAGGGACACTGCCCCTCTCAGGTGAGCAGCCACCGCCTTTGTCATACCTCGACAACTCCAGCTATTGTCTTCATGTCCATTTCGAATAAAAAAGAGAGAAAAGTATAAGACCTTTTGAACAACAAGCTTATACTTTTTAGCCTCAAGATTTGCCAATCCTGCGACACATCGTAGCTTAGAAATTATCATCGGGTCAAGAGCATCTGCTCTTTGTTCTGCCTTGCTAACATAGCTTGAGACATGAGAAAATTGCTCAATCTCAATGCTGACAAGAATTGTACTCTACAACATCAATTGACATATGTACTGAGTTTTGCTGAAATGTGTTGAGCAGTAGCATTAGCTGATTGAGGCTTAACTGCAAAATAAATTATATTTGAGAACAAAAATAAAACAATCATATGTAAACTTATGATGTTGACACAAACTAAGATATTATATACATAAACACCAAATACACCAGAATAAATAAGTAATTAGCTTCCAACAGAAAACCAACCTCAATTATCCATTTCAGAAACATATATGGGAGCTAAAGATTCATCCAAACCAGAAACAAAACCTGAGTGGCTCCAACCAGCAGAGACATGGGTTATGAAGTAAGTTTTAATCGGATGCAAATTCTCTCCGGCCACTAATGCACACATATGCAGTGAATAGATTCACTGCAGTCAATCATGCATGCATTCACACATTCGTTAGTGGTAAGAATCTAGAAGAAGTGACAATAGGTGTCTATGGATCATAAAACTTAAACATTGTGCTCTGGAAGAGTAACATAGAGCAAAGGTAGCGACATAAAGCCAATATGAACCATCAAAGATACCTCGTTTATATATGAAATTTGCACGATTTGGACGAAGATCGAGAGGACAGGGAACACAAAGATGTGCATCAGAACCGTCGACGTCTTTGTAAGTACCAACAGGACATTCTTGAAAATTTTACAAGAGCAGAGAATTATGTCTTCTAAAAATACTTACAAGAGGGGCGTAAAAAACAATTTGTCCAAGCAACTCAAATTATAAAAATCGAATTTTAAATTAAAGACTATATAAAAATACTTTGAGAGGTTTATACTTCAAAGAGGTTCAATCATAATTATACTTTGCATTGTTTTCAGCACACTAATACAGAGCAACAACGGCAGAAATAGGGAGAAAATAATTAAATTGTCTTGTTCTCTTCTTCAATCATATTGTTGACTTTACAACTCTCAAAATTAATCTCCTACCTACAAACTTTTTAACAATCATGATCCTTACTTTTTTCCTCTATCCCTTTTTAACTTCCCCCAACAGAATCTGCCATGCCAATACTCTCTCTACTCAAGACATCAAGTTGGGCTTATGCCCAAATCCAGTATCCTATCACCATGCCTACCCTATGTCACTTGAAGTGTAATCTTAATATATAGTCTACCATTAAATAAGCTAATATTTACATAAGTCCACAACATAAAGAACATGAAAGACGGAGATGAAAAAGGAGGAGCAACATACCTTCCATCATAAATAAGAGTAAGCAATAGCAGTTCACTAGTTTTTGTTGACAGCAAAGTATCAGAAGATTGGTGGCTATCAGTCTTAGTTTCTCATAGCTAGTTTGGTTTCCTTGTGATAGGTAGTGAGTTTCACTTTGTTTTGTCAACTGAGGTAGGGTATGGCCAGATTTGGGGTCATGAGAATTCTTGAGCCAGTTGAAGATCTTGACAGATTAGAACTTCAGTGGACACTGTTGGTTTGATGTTGGGCCTGCTGCCCAGGTCTGTTGGAGAGTTTTATTCCACATAGGTGTGGTTTGCTTCTAAGTAGGCTTGAGGCCAGTGTTTATGTTTGCTTTTGGAGTTTTAGATCTGTCAAGCATGGTGATGCTAGGGGTGGTTAGCTCTTCATGTTGGTCTGAATCCCTTATAGAATTGGCATTGTAATGTCAAATTCAGGATTTTGTTTAGGGAATTTGACAACATGTTATGGAATTTGACAGCATACATCTCAAGAACAATGACAGCATACTATTAGTAATTATGTCAAAAAATTCAATTACGGTTTAACAAACAATACCGGTTACAACTTATTAACACAAATGAATAAACTGTACAAGATATTAGTAAAAGATAAATGCCAAACTGTCAATTTCTTCTTTATCTTGTGAAATATAATATACAAATAATAGGCAGTTCAATTCTTTGTTTTGAATTCTGTCAGTTTCTTCTTAATATTGTGTATCATCTTAAACTACAACCGCTAGTGCTCCTTCAATAATAGGATTCTATTACGCACTACTGAAATGTATCAATGCATAATTGCAGAATATCATTAATTTGCTCATTTACCTTTTTGAATGATACTAGCTCAACCTCATAATGCAGGGTTGAATTAGGAGGAACCACTGCCAATTCCTGCTGAGTGTCCGTTGAACCAAAACCATACTCAGGTGCAATGGTCAACAATGCTACCTCACCCTTCTTCATGGTCCTTACAGCTCTATCAAGCCCATCAATCGCTTGTTCTGTTCAACACAACAAACATTTTCTTTAGTGGGTATAAAACCAAATTTATGGGAGAGGGTGAAATACCAAATAATGAGTACACCAATGATTCACTTGTAGACTGATTTATTTACATTCTAATGAATGCAAGCTTAGAACTACAGATGACACAAATGCCCTAATGACAGAAATTAAAAGAAACAGAATTCGGGCTGAAATACAAATGCTTTCAGGTTCAACATAAATGAAAGGCACGGAGAATTACCTGTACGAAAACCCAGGAGAAAATTCTGAAACAATGCCATATTTTCCAGCTAAATTCACACTCTTAAAAATATCTATCACAGCTGGACGAGCCTAATTAATTACCAATATTCAAAACTAATGATCAGAACATATATTCAACCATATGAATGTCTACATTTATATTAGAAAAATTACTTAGATATATAGCAGTGGCAGCAATCGATGATAGACATGTGTTAGCCAATATATAATAAATAACTCATGGTATCCTGAAAAATCATGGCTTTATAACATCTTACTTTTCCAGTGGCTATCACAATTTTCACACCCCTTGCTGAGGCCTCTCTCAAAGCCTTGACCGTTGAAGTAGAAATTTGACTTTTGCTGTTCAGCAATGTTCCTTTATATAATATCATACGGATTTGATTAAAACCCAAAAAGAGGAAAATGAAAAATGTAAAGAGTACGTTTCGCAGAGATTTTACCATCCATATCACAGAATATATGGCTATACTTTGGTTTGTAAAATCTAAGACTGCCTTCTTTGTTCCTATCTTTTGACAATTCATCTATAAGATTACTTGCCCACGTACTTTTTGTGCAAATAGGGTTACTTGAATGAGCGGGAAGCACATAAAACCAAAATATCATACAGGTTCACAAGTGTTAGTGCATGCTAGCAAAAAATTATAATTACCATCTGAACTGCTTTGGTGAGAATTTGAATTTGCTTCAATATCATATGCACTTTTTATTAGCCCTTTTCCTTTCCAATCAAGACTCTTCAAAAGGAGTTCCTCTTCTTTCTCCATTTCTACTTCAGCCTCTTCGCTTATTTCATGATCAAATCCAAAAAGATGTAACAAGCCATGGATCTACAAAAAGAATAAATATGAACTACTCCCTCCAATCCAAAATAAGTTTGATTTAAGGTTCCTTCACATAGATTAAGAAAAGCAACAAATAAATGAATAAGTAAAACCATTTTATAGAACTGTGCCCATTAACTATTGGCTATTAACAAATGTCATTCCAATAGTAATGCAAATCAATAAAATATGAGAACATTAAGACTCAATATACCATAACCGAAATGATAATTCCATAAACTCACATGTTTAGAAATACGTTCAATATACTTTCTTCTCTCCGATTGCCTCACCGTAGTCTCTAACCAACACCGTCGCGCCGGAGTTTAGGCTCTGTTAATTAATCCAAGTTCAATTCAGTTGAGAGCGAGGATTGTGTTAAATCTCAGTTAGGGTTGGAATTAGAAATTCATGAGTTGAATGAAAAACATAACAAAATCTTAACCTTAAAATGACAAATAACACAAAAAAGAATCAGTGTTTATGTCTGCTTTTGTAGTTTGAGGTTGACTTTGAGCAGGATACTCACCTAATTTAGAACGAAGCAGTGAAACTCCAAAAGCAGGAAACTTTCTACATTGAAAAGAAGAATCAGAGAAGAAGAATAAGTGTTTATGTCTGCTTTTGTAGTTTGAGGTTGACTTTGAGCAGGAAACTCACCTAGTTAGAGAACGAAGAGATGATCTTGAACGAAGAGATGATTTTGAAGAGAAGATCAGAAGAATTGATTTTGAAGAGAAGATTAGAAGAATCGATTTTGTTTGATTTTAGGAGTTTTTTTTCTTCTGAAGGTTTAATTTTAGGGTTTTCGTTCTGAAAGGAATTAAGAGGGAAACATGAAAAACAAGTGGGAAATAGTTAGCCTCGACCCATCCGTGTCTATCAGATAAAATAAATATATTCCAAAAAAAAATAGTTAGCCTCGGCTAATCCATGTCTAATATTTAAAAAAAATAATTCAAAAATTAAAAAATATTTAGCCTCGGACTAGCCATGTCTAATGAATTAAATAAAAATAATGGTAAAATAAAAACTTTAAAATGGATTTTTTTATGTTTAAATAGCCTCGGTTTTGTCAAGGCTAGTTAGCCTCGGTGCAGGTGGCCGAGGCTAAATTCGCAGCTAAAAATAGTTAGCCTCGGCTCATCCGTGTCTAATATTTAAAAATAATAATTCAAAAATTAAAAAATATCTAGCCTCGGCCTAGCCATGTCTAATGAATTAAATAAAAATAATTGTAAAAGAAAAACTTTAAAATGGCTTTATTTGCGTTTAAATAGCCTCGGTTTTGTCGAGGCTAGTTAGCCTCGATGTCGGTGGCCGAGGCTAAATTCGCAGCTAAAATGAAGTTTTCTAGTAGTGTTGCCCGTATCTCTTTTGAAGATCCCCGACAGAGTTATGAATATTTCATCCCCAACAAATGGTTGTCTCTTTATTTGAGAATTTTGTTGTGTGGTTTGAGCTTTCCAGTGACAGGTAGCTTGTGATTATTTCTTCTCCTACCCAGTGACAGGTAGTCGACCTTTATTTCCTTCTTCTACCCAGTGACATGTAGTTGAATTCTATTTGTCCTACCTAGTGACCGATAGTCGACCTTTGTTTCCTTCTACTACCCAGTGACATGTAGTTGAATTCTACTTGTCCTACCCAATGACCGGTAATCGACCTTTATTTCTTTCTCTTACCCAGTGACAGGTAGCCGAGTTTGTTTCGTCCTACCCAGTGACAAATAGTCGATATTTGTAATACCCTACCCAGTGAATAGTAACAGGTATTTCTTGTGAGTTCATTACCTTTATTTTTCTACCTAGTGATGGGTAGCCGGTAATGTTTCTTCACCTTTTAGGTATATTGCCTTTATTTTCTACCCAGTGCCAGGTAGCAGGTAATATTTCTCAGCCCTTATCGTTGGTTGTCCTATGTTTTTACCCAATGACCGGTAAAAGGTAATCCTTCCTCCCGAGCATGTTGCCTTTATTTTTTATACCAAGTAACTGGTAGCAAGTAGCATTTTTCTCTTCTTTGGTTAGTTACCATTGTTTTCTACCCAGTAACGGGTAGTCAGTAATCTTTCCTTTTGGTAATATTCCTTCTCCTGCCCAGTAACAGGTAGTTGATATTTTGTTTACCCTATCAAGTAACCGATAGTTGGTAACATTTTCCTTCAAGTTTATTACTCTCGCTAAACTACTCAGTAACAAGTAGTTAGTGTTATACCCCAAATTTTACCCTTAGATTCATTGAGCTTTTGCACATCATCTTAGGACAATCATCCATGCATGAGCTAACCATATTTCATCTTTTGTTTGTCTTGTGAAGATAGGTTGCTGAAAAAGGTTCAAAGGTCATAGAGGCTTTGTATGTGTCCATAGTTTCTCGCAAGTTGGTTTGGATTCCTATGGAGATAAAGGAAGTATATGCCCTTACACTCATGGTTAAGCAGTCATGATTTGATCCATAGCCTAAGGTGTTTGATGACATCGTTTTTAATAGTAATCCATCCAGAAGGTTCACGACATATTGGAATTAAGGTTATGAACCAATTAAAATTGAGTCTTTGCGCATCAAGGTAATATAAAGCCATGATTAAAGTTTAGTCTTCAAGATTGTATTCTAAATTTTAAGCCACATGTGGTTTCGAGGAATATTTGTCGTCCCAGGATGTTTTAGGATAGCCAGGTTGCTTTTAAAATGATCATAAGGAATATCTCAGAAAGATGTTAGATATGCCTCAAGTCATATTTCAAGGGTCATATGGTTTCGTGCTTGATTGAATCACTTTCAAAGCTATCATAACTTATGTGCATGTTACAAATGATCATGATTAAGTTCTCAAGTGTGCTCTGTTAGAACACAAATTGGTTCTTAATAATATCTCTATGTTTTGATGATAACTATTATGAAATTTTGTAATTAAGAATTATATACTCTAAAATTTGCTTGAGAGTGTTTGCTGCAGATATCAAAATAATTATCACTCCAGAAGCAAATCAGAACTGAACATAAGAAATTTGCTAGACTCTGAAGCGCCAGATGCATCCATTAGAAGATTCTGAATGCTGCCAACAGAAGATCCTGAGCGCTGTCTCCAAAAGGATTTGAAGCAGAAGCTCCAGAAGAATCTGAAGCAAGTCAGAAGCATCTGAACCAAAGAAGAATTCTGTATGAAGAGTTTTCAAAGCATAGTTACTACAGAAGATTCTGAAAGTACTAAAGCTGCCAGTACTGAGGATCTGACTCAAATATGCTCTGAACTTACATACGCTAAAAGCACACCTGCTGCAGAAGACTCTGATTCAGCAAAACTCTGATCAAACATCAGAAGGCTCTGATCAAATTAGACTCTGATGAATCTTGCTGAAATTTGAAGAAGAAGAATTCAAAGATTATGTCCGTTGGAATAATCCAAACGACTTTTTCCTTATTTATGCTAGACACAAGAACACAGACAAAAAGGATTTCTCTGTGCTTTCTTCTTCTAGGAAAGGTCACTTGATGTGAAGACAAAAAGGCTCAGACCTTTTGGGACACTCTTCTCAACGTGAAATCTCTTGTCTCAAGCTGCCTATAAAAGCAAGTCTTCACCCATCTTCTTCAGTTGACGTTTTATCTGAAAGAAATCAATATTAAAAGCTCTCATACTATTCACATTCTTTCTAGAATTAATTTCTTTGTTCTTAATATTAAGTGAAAAATCACAGTTGTGATAAAGCTTTTTTAGAAGCAATTTAAACACTTGTATTTGTTATTACATTTGATTGTAAACCTTAAGAAGATCCAGTCAGGATTAGTAGTTCTTGAGAAGACTTTGAACAGTTGTTCTTAGTGCTTACTATTGTAATCAGTTGATTAAATAGTGGATTAAGTCCTTGATTGAGAAAGGCAAATCACTCTAGGAAGGGTGGACTGGAGTAGTTGAGTTCAACGAACCAGGATAAAAATACTTGAGTTTTTATTTCTAAGTTTTTATCTTCATACTTATTCAACCCCCCTTCTATGTATTTTCTCACCTTCATGCTCAAGGAACATGTTCTATCAAGGCCATATTGAAATCAATACTTCAAGGATGTCCTGAATGAATTTTGTGGTCCTAGTCAAAATTCTAGTTTTTAGTTTTTTTATGGTTCAAGGTATGGTCGTAAGTGCTCTAGATGACGGCACATTAATATTAAAGGTTGAGTTTTTTGGTGCATCATGGTTCATGTTATCTCAAAGTTGGATGCGATATATTGTTTCAAGAGGTCTTGGACGTTTTTTTCTTCAAAGAAGTTTGAGCCAAACCATTGATTTTAAGCTACTTTTGAGCCAAGTTATGCGTTTAGAATTTGCTTCAAGAACATGTCAAAATTATCATCAAATTTGGTTTCAAGTATTTAGTTTCAAAGGGTTTCTTCAAGATCATTTTGGGCCATTTTCAAGTTGACTTAAACCACATTTCAAGCCATAAACCATCAAGAATTGTAATTCAAAAGGAATCCTTTTTTTGCATGATTAATTTCCAAAATTCAAGACTAGTTTAAAGAAGTTCCGCGTTTAGTGTCGAAGTTATGGATTCAGGTGATGAAAGTTCAAGAAAATTTTTTTAATCACTTTTTCTTACTATTCAAGCTCATTTAAAAGGCTCTAATTCATATCCTCAAAAAGTACCAAATCTTGAAAGGTTACAAGGTCAAATTCAATTCATTCAAAATTCCAAGCTTAGTTGATACAAGGTGTGAACATTGTGAGATACACAGATTACAATTCCATCAATTAACAGAAGTAAAGAAATGGACAATAACATTGTACCATCAGCAATTGAACGCTTCAAAAGACTTGATATCACTATCACTAGAATGTATAATATATGGATGGAAGAATATGAAAACCCAAATTCTAATTTAACTCTTAAACTCACGCGAGACCAAATAATAAAGGCTACACATCAAATTACAAAGTCAAAG